TAGGATTTAGCATTTAGGGTTTGGGTACCCAGAAGAATCTGATTTTAGCAGAGGAGGCTTCGAGGCATATTATACTACACTTATGATAGAAGTTTAGAGGGACTACAGTTACATGGTGGGATAAACCCCTCAGTTATGTATGGATCATAGGGGTATAATATCAGGACCCATTCGCATAATACCTTCAAAAGATCACATGCCTGAAGCAGATCTGATGTGCGTTTCGAGCCTAAGACCCTTCCTCCAATATTGAACCCTTTCCTGCCAGGGCCTGAATGGGTTTAGGGTTTAGACCCTTCCACTATTACTAAACACCCCCCCCCCCCCACGCACCCTAATATTAAATACTCCGAATAGGCTATAAAATGCCTATAATATGCCACAATAGGAAGTATCTAAGATTAGGGGGGGGGGTAAATATTAGGGCTGGAGCAGGATAACTGCAAGACAAAGTCCATGCAGGCTTGAGAGAATCCACTACCAGAAGGGCAGCATCGTGGTGCACAAGGACCCCTCCCTGATGCCGCCCTGTCGCTCCGACTGGCGGACCTTTAACGTCACTGGAGGGAGACTTGAAATGTGTTTTTGCTTTGTACGCGTGCCATGAGGGTCCAAAGTAGATGATTATCATGCGCTCCCCAAAACCTTAATTATGGTTCATAGAATAAGAACCCCAAAGTATGTGATGAGTGCATGATGGACCTTTAGGGGTAGGGCTTTGGTTGGTTGGGGCAAAGGATATCAGGCGCCGGGAGGCAGATGTTCTGGGCTCCCTTTCACTTGCATCCGTGCTGGTCTTCAAGGACTCGTCTTTTGTATATCGTTTCTTGCAAATAAAGAAACCAGGCAACCATGGAATCAGGGTAGCAATAAAACTCATCGCAGGTCGCCATCCCTGCAAGGTTCCAACAACTCTTACTTGAAGCTTCAGGGCAATAACGATTTAGTTGTAACTGTACATTATAGCCAGTTCTGAGCGCCCTAAGTTCCAAAATCAAGTGACAGCAGTTCGGTTAAGTTTGCCTGTACGTACCCATGAGCCTCGAAGCAAGGTCAGGGAAGACGGACCGGGCGGCACCTGCCAAATTACTGTCTGGTTGAATAAGTTCTGGGGCCGCGATGACATCGAAGAGGAGCCTTGCTTTGCTCAGCTTGCTTGGATGTCTAGCTACATGGGGTATACTGGGATAATGGAAAAGAAAATGGAAACTAATATAATACTGGGTTATGTTGGGGTTATATTGGTATAATCAAAAAGAAAATGGAAACTACTATAATAATGCGTTATATTGGGGTTATATTGGGATAATGGAAAAGAAATGGAAACTGCAATAATAATGGGTTAGATTGGGTTATAGGGGTGCTACAGGGTTTACAGGGCCAGGGGTATTTTAGATCCTTAGTCTTGCTAGCAAAAATGAAGGGACTTTACTGGGAACCCTCAAGAGGGAACCCAAACATGTACCAGGAATGTTGTAGGCATATGCTTACCAGGGTCCTTATATTCCACTACTTTCCTACTATATTCTTGGGGTTCCCTGTGTGGGGTTCCCATCAGAACCCTTTTCAAAAAAGAACGGACTTAGTGGCAATACAAAAACAGTAGCTGCGACATTGAGCAGTAAGGACCTCTTCGAGACCTGGAACCCGGCAGAAAGGCCTGCCAGCAGTCAAACCATCAAAGAGGTTCCTCGGATTGCATTCACATTCATGCTGGGGTTTATAGGGGTTCAATCCCATCCTTCTGGGTTTAGGGTTTAGGGTTTAGGACCATAACTCCATCAAACTACGTCCAATGTGGGTATATCTGCTGATGTCGGATTTCATTCATCAGCAGAAGTTCATTCCAGAGTACAGATGGCATGAGCTGGTCAGTGGCTGTGCTTGAGGCATAACCAAGTCAAGAAGGATGTGACATAAGTTGGTACTTTCTCCAAATGGGGGGACCCCAATACAGACCACAATATACTGTAGTCCTTACTGGTGGGATCCCAACAATGGTACCCCCCAATTTTAGCAAACCTTGTATCCCCGTATATGAACCCTATAAGACCCTTTAAAGGCACCCCCCATGTTAGAAGCCTCCACTCAAGATTTTGTCAAGTAGAGGTACCCTGAGCGCCACAGGGTATGTATGAAGACTACAAGGGGATTGATTCTGCGAATCTCGATTATACAAATCACCACATGTTGAGAAACGCCCGTTTTCCCAACCTTGAAATCCAACCCCACAGGCCCTGACCAGATTTTGACCGAGCGCAGTTTCCATATCAGATGCAAAGCAAACCTTTGATACGGCTGAATGTATGGGCCTTCTTCAAAGTCAACATTTTTCAAGATCCGCCGGTAAGTGCTCTAAAAGAAGTCAAATCTTCATCCTACCCATAGCCTAACTATGCATGTCCATTTGGGGTAGCACAGTATAATTCCTTGCAGAAAAATAGGGCACCCCAAGAGGACGTGCAGGAGCTGTTGGAGAAGGATCTCGCGGAGCGATCTCTCATGGTTGACAAACTCGCAGAAATCCACCAAGACATACTGTAGGAAATTCTGCTATCGCAAACCATTTTGGGCGGGGTGCAAGAAATTGGGGGATCCCATATAGCCATCTAGACCCCAAGAATCCTTCATCCTTCTTGTAAGCCTACCAAGAAGGGACCCTTTTTTTGGAAGCCACATTGATGAAACATCTGGTTCTTTTTCCTAGACCCTAGATGATATCAATACTTTGTTGCTGCAACATCCATGTAACCCGTGTGAGCCTACACGGGACTGATCATCAGACGCATCAGGTTACGCTTGGGAGGGCGACCTACACGAGTGCAATGAAGGACTGCCCTGATTTGCACCAGCATCGTTAACACGACTTAAGGGATTTCCTTAAAGGGGGATCCCTGAACAAGAAGTTCAGAGAATAATGATCTAGCTTGCAACTTGGGATAAACCTAGATACCTTTTGTCGTTTGCAACGGCACCTCTTCATAAATGTACGCTTTAGACCCACGGGGAAGAGACCTAGAGGGTCCGAATACCAGATACTGGGGCTATGGGTCCCAAATACTACAAGGCAAGGTTTTTTGCTACCCAAAATCCCAAACCCTACATTTGGATACCTGGATCCTTTCGGAACAGTTGAGCCGATGATCCCTAAACCCTTCTGGGGGTACTGGGCCATAGGGAGATTTGAAAACTTGGGCTCTCTTACGGCAAAACCCTGCACGCCAAACCCTTAAAACCTAATGCCCTAAAACCTTAAACCCTGCAACCCTTAAGTCAAAGACTTCAGATGTGTACCCTTAATGTTTGTAACCCTATGTTTTTTGGATCCCAAATACCCTTATTAAGGGCCATCTTCCATGGTTTAGGGACCCAAACCCAAGCGTACAACTGAGCAACCCTGAAGCAAGACCCCCTGGGTAGGAGCTTTGGCCGTGGATCCGGAAGTCTCAGGGCCACGATGGCTTCTACGTGGCGGGTGCTTATGCCGTGGAAGGCACGAGCTCCCCTTGATTGGTTTTAGGGTTTAGGGCGTAGGAATCCTTCATTCGGGGTACCTTTAAAGGGGAATCTACCTGGGGTTATTTAGGGGTAAGGCTTTAGTAGGGTTGTATTATTCTGGCCCTAAGGGTCCATCATACAATCGTCATATACTTTGGGATTCTTATGCTATGAATGGTTATCAGGGGTGTAGGGTATAGGAAGTAGATAGGAATTATATATTTTGCATCTTTCTGGTGGTTCTAGCACGAGATTCTCTTCAGGATATGGAGGAATAGAAAGAAACTGGGAATTACTATATGAGCTGTAGTCTAAACTCCTTAAAGGGGGTTATATAGGGGATTATATAGAGGGGACTACTATCGGGGTTATTTAGGGGGATTCTAGGAGTTTAGACTATGGCTCATATGGGGGTTGTTCTAAAGGTCCTTATAAAGAAGGGACAATTGAGAATACACTTCCGTATGCGGGGATCCTAACCAAACAGGGAATCTGCATTATGGCCATTTGGGGAACAAGTAGTTTGAACAATTACCACATTTTTGGGGATTACACAGGGACACCACCTGAATCCATTCCTTCACTCCTTGCCAACCAGCGTTCAGCCAAAGTTAAGCAAGCCAACTGCCCTTCATTAGGGTCTAAGTACGTTCCATCTGGGAGTATATGACGGGGGTTATGTGAGGGCAATGGGTTGGGCTTTGAGGGTTAGGGGGTAAAGGAGGGTTTTGGGGTTGAAGGTAGGGTTTTGGATTCTGCGGTTTGGGCGTAGGGTTTCGATTATCGATCTTGGGGTTTAGCGCTCGGGTTTCTGTTTGGGGTTTGCCTGGACCCCAAGAGTAGAAAAGCAACAGCCTTAGGTTTAGGGTTTTCGGGGTTTCAGGGTGTAGGGTTTTAGGGTTTAAGGTTTTGGGTTTGGGGTTTAGGATTTAGGGTTTTGGGTTTGAGGTTCAGGGTTTAGCAACAGCCCCAAACCCAGCGTAAAACAAGAAGTTCTCTACATTGGTTCGGGAGGTCTTTTCAGCCCCAAGTATATAATCCATAGCTACATGGACCCTGTCAGGGTATTTTTTGAGCCTGAATCCTCAACCCTAAATCTCAAGGTAGGGCCTTGGGCTCACCTGAGGCCTTACCTAGACCCTCCAATATAGTACCTTTTTGGGTAGTCCGAATAAGCGTCCTCACCCAAAAACCATACCAAACCCAAAAGGGAACTACATTGGAGGGAGTAGAATAGAACCCCAACATTACCCTAGATCCTAGTATAGTAGTCTCCATTTTCTTTTCCATTATCCCAATATAGCCCCAACATATACCCTATATAGCCCATTATAGGTAACCCCCTATATAACCCCAATATATCCCCTTAAAGGGACCTAGGGTTTCCATTTTCTTTTCCATTATCCCAATATAACCCAAACAGGAGCTACATTGGAGGGTCCTAAAATCCCTAAACCCTAAACCCTAAATAGTAGTTTCCATTTTCTTTTCCATTATTCCTATACATAACCACGATATAGACCCTATAATCCCTATAACCCCTACATGGTAAGGTTTGAAAAGCAGCTCTGAGGTGAAGCATTTATAGGTTTCGGGTTTAGGGTTCGGGGTTTTGGGGGGTTTAGGGTTTAGGGGTTTAGGGTTTAGGGTTTCCCTTGCTTTGTTGTATATAGATCTGGAATGTTTTGCTTTAAGAGGAGGGCTGATGAGGGTAATTGTCCTGGCTTCTGAGCTTAGATGCATTTTCGTCGCAAGTTGCACCTCAGTTTAGGCCTTCCGTCTGAAGAGAAACTTGCAAAACATGATAAAGGGTCCCAGAGGGTCCAGATATACAACTTAGGGAATTGGGACCCATAATTCCTTCTATAGTATGGTATTTTGGGGCCTAACTCCCTAATGGCTGTATATATGGACCCTCTGGGGGTTCTTCTTTTGCTGTATTGAGGTATGTTGCGTAGCGCGCTGAAAGGTGATGTAACTGACTCAAGATTTGCTTCTGCGATTCGTTCAATCACAGTTGTCCCTTCCGTAGCTCCACACACTTTGGGCCGCACCTCTTACGTAGTTAGGGTTCATAAGGTGTAGGGTTGAAAGCCTAGGGTATGACCCTAAACCCTAAACCACGGCATTATAACGGGATCCTCTCGAAAGTCTCAAGCGGGAGCGCCCAGTATGCTGGACTTTCCTACTATATACCTGTACCCGCTTACCCGGGGCTCCCGAAGTTCCCTTCGTTTGAGGGTTCCATGGGATCCCCTTCCCAAAGGGTCCATGTAGCTATGCGGTATATACTTAGGCCCTTAGGTAGCTATGTGGTAGCCCCTCGTGGCCCTAAGTATATACTATATATTCACATGGACCCTTGGAGTTTTGTATCAGGCATGAGCTTGTTAGAGCAAGCCTGTTACTCGGCGATGCTGGTGGTGGATGCGATTCGGCCACTGGGCTTGCATGATACAAGCCTCGCATTGGGGTTCTGAGCTGAGAGGGTCGAAGATTCACGCTCAGTCCATAAACTTTGGGCCATAGCTATGGCACTTGAATGACTATGCTATAATCGCAAGCTTGCAAAGCCCGCTGAGCCTTGGATTACACTAAGCCCTAAACCCTAAACCTCTAAGCTGTCGGCATCGGGCAGTAAGCCTAAGGAGCCATAGGACCGAATCCCTCAAATGCCGATCAGATGCACATGTCATTTATGATTTCCTTTTTAGTAGCCTATCAGGCTTTTTAAGCTAGGGGTCCCAAAAGTCACCATTACCCTGAGGGTCCATGTGCCCAATAATTAGGTACTTGGGTTTTGGGTAATAGTCATTTTGGCATAGGTTTTGGGCAAGCATATGATTATAAGGTACTTGGAGCCTGAACCCTAAACCTTACATATCCCCCTATATATATCCCCTTTAAAGGGACCTAAGTATATGATCATTAGCTACTTGGACCCTTAGGGTTACTTGGAAAAAGCCAAAGATACCCCAATTCACAGAGTCCCAACCTGGCCTCTGGTCACTGATTCAGGGCTGAGTGGTTTAGGGTTTTAGGGGTTTAGGGTTTTAGGATTTAGGGTTTTATTGGGTTTAGGGTTCTAGGGGTTTAGGGTTTTAGGGGTTTAGGGTTGAGGGTTTTGGGGTTGAGGGTTTAGGGTCTAAGGTTTAGGGGTTTGGGTTCAAGTTGTGGGTTGGTGCTTGGGGGAGGTTTTACTCCCAATTTTCCTTAAACCCCCAACCCTAAAAGTTTGCCTGGACTCCCCAAAGATCCCCAAAAGTAGGTAAAACTGTAGCCCACAGTCAGATAGGCCATTATTCTACATACATTCGAGGTCCTGGTAGGTTTTCTTTGCTACCTCGTCCTAAACCCTAAACCACTGAGTCACGAAATCTCTGTACAGAAGGCGAGATTCCGCAGCCACTGCAGACGTTGAAGGCGACGTGGCCTGGCTCAAATAGGAAAACCTCAACCACTTCCTGCCATGACCCTTTCACACGTACCGTTATTTTGGGTCCCTAAGGGTCCAAGGACCCAAATAATGAGGCTTTAGGGCCCAAATACTATTTTTTATTAGGGTTTCAGGTTCCTCAATACTGGGCACATACCCTTGGGGTTATAGGTTCCTCAATGCTGGGCACATAGCCTCTGCCTGCCAAGACCCTATCATATTGCCGAATAGCGGGTAGCTGGAGGGTCTAGGTGAATACTGAAACTCCGCTGCCGTTATTGTAGGGGTTTCTTGCGGTTCGAGGTTTGCGTGAGATATGCTCTTGAAGGTTCCGAGGTCGGCAACGCGGCTATGAGCAGCGCCTGGCGGATCCAATGCCGTTGTCGAATGTTGAGACAAGCCGGCACAGAACCGTACGACCATGGCCCACAGAACCCCAGGCACAACAGAAATGCTAACGCAGAGGTCGCAAAGTGATGTTGTTCGGCAGTAGTGCTCACGTGGCGAAAGTTGACGGCTTCAAGGACAAAATCTGCGGCGAACATGTCTGGCAAAGTGTTCTGGTGAAGCGTGTAGCAAATTACTTGTCAAACTTCACCGGAAGTCCACCGCAACCGAGAATCCGACTCAGCAAGCCTGGCAGAGATGTTTGTATAGAGCACCTTTGGGCTAAATTTCGGACACCGTCGGAGAATCAAGAAGCGTCAAGAAGCCCCATTTTGAATTCTGCGCATTAAGGCCGGGAGGTCCCATGTACAATGATCAATTTTGTGAATCAGTCCTGGGGATTTCTTATTCTTCAGATTCCACATCGATTACACATGAGGTTCCCCCTAATTCTTGGAGAGCCCTTACAGGACACCACGTCGGGATTTTAGTAAACAGGACGCCCCGACA